CCCACCATGAATATAGTGCTGGGCTGGACTGCCTGATGGGGAAGAACAAGGATGGTATTTGAGTGACATAGAGGAAGCTTATTTGGGGGCTGAGGGTTAGGATGGATGCAACTTGGTGCCAATCAAGGACCCAAACTCAGTCTCTTAAGTATGGGGTCTGGGGTCCCTGGGAGAGTGTGGAGACTAGGCCCGAGCTTAGTTTAGGTTAAACTCCCTTGCGTGTGACCAGAAGGAAGTCCTTACTTCTGACCTGGAGCTGCAGCAAAAAAGATCATGGTGGGACAACAAGAACTTCTACAAATACCAGAAGGTTTAGCCTTAGGGGGGCTCAGAAGATGAGACAAAAGCTGAGCAGAGAGAGGGGGCCTGGTCTCATCCTCCCTCCGCCCAGACTCCCAGCTACCTGTGCTGCCTTCTGTGACTGCCCTCTCCCTGCCAGGGGTCCAGGCCTGAGCACAAACCAAGCAATTTCAAGGCCAGAGGTGGAGACTAATATGGTTTTAGAAACTCTTCTGAAGCTGGCTCTAGGAGAGGGGCGGTGAACACGGCTGGGAGGTGAGTGGGCAGGAAATCGCACCTTGAGCAGGGGAGCAGAGTAGTGTCCTATGGGGGCCACTGGGAAGGGGCTGCCACTAATCTCCCTTCAGTACGCATTTCACTCAAGCGCCAAATCAACAAAGTCCACTTTTCTATTCACTCTCCCTATCACCCCACAGGCCTTGAGCTCGCAGGAGAGTTATTTCTCGGCCCTAGACCCCACTGGGAGACAGAAGCCCTGCCTCCTTGGAGATTGTGAACTTGAGGGTGGGAATGAAAGGCGAGGAAGGTATCAAGGGTTGGAGGAGAAGGATCAAGAGCCGGGGCTCCAGACGCCCAAGGAGGTTCAGACGTGGCCCCAAGAACCCCCACCACCCTGAGCCCAGAGGGTCATCCAGCCAGGGCTCTTTCCTTATGGACTACTGGTGTTCACTGCTGTGCTAAGCGCATGGCAACGTCATGGTGTGGGTATTAAAGTGTGAGTTCTGGAAGTTAGCTGATTGGGTTCAAATCCTGGCTCTGCCCATCATTAGCTGTGTGACTCTGGACAGGTTGCTTAACCCCTCTGGGCCTCAGTTTCCTCATCTGCAAGATACAGCTAATAACAGCATCTACATCATAGAACTGTGAGGATAAAATGAGATGATACTTGTAAAGCACTTAGAGCCTGCCCCTGTAAACACGATGTAAGTGTCAGCTGCTGGTTTAGCAAGTACTTGTTGAATGAGTGAATGAATCGATCGCTGGGAGGTAAGGAGCCAAAAAGAAAGAAGGCTTGAGAAAAGAATCATTTTATCTGTCCCTCTGACCAAAACCTCTGCCTCTCATTCTAGGTCATCCAGGGACCTCACTCATTTTAGGAGGCGGGGTGGGGGGGGGTGTCTCCTGAGGAAGATTCCACAGCCTCCCTTCTTTTCTCATTATTTCAGATCTCCTACCCCTCACAGCCAGCTGCAAAGTCCTTCCTGATGCCTGACCTCGGTCTTTCTGACTCCCATCGAGCTCCTTTTTTCTGCTTTGGGTCAGCAGGCCCTTCCCTTTCTGGGTTGGGGGAACACAAATGTTCCCCAGCCTACCCCTCCCTGTTCTTAGAAGGGGTACTAAGCTGGGCTCAGGGTGGGGAGGATTAAGAAGAGCAGCCCGAGGGTAATTTCAGACCCAGGGAGTATGTTTGGGGGGTGGTCTCTAATTCACGGAGACCCAGTCCTGACACCACATGGGCGTGAGAACTTTTTCTTCTTCCCATTACTGGCTTTCTAGATTTTGTCCTCCCCTCCCCCACCCAGGCCACCATTCCTAGTCCAGCTCCTCCCCCTTGAAGGCTGTCTCATTAGGTTTGAGACTTTTAAAAGAGGGCTACTGCTAAGGTCACATAACTGTCAGACACCTTGAACTTCTTCAAAGCACCTTCTGAACATAAGCTTGTTTTACACAAAACCCAGTCCTGGGTCCTCCTCTGGGCACCCCGTACCCCATCCCGCCCTCCACACTTCCCTCAGCACCCCGCCCCGCCAGACTCCAGAGCTTCGCGCTCAGGATCGTGTTCAGCCTTCCTCCCTTAGATAAACTTCCTTTCAAAGCCCCGCTTAATCCTCTCCCCAATTCCAAGCCTCCCCCGCTGCTATGGGGAGGGGTGGGGGGAGCTAGGAAGCTTGGCTGTTGGGCCAAGGAAGAGTGGGGGAAGGGGGGGCGCTGCCCGAGTGGTGACCCACCCCAGACTCAGACAGCGATTCTCCCAAGTTCTTTGTGACACAAAAGGTAAACAGAAGGCCTGGCTTACCCCCGCCCACCCCCCACAGATCTCCCCTCCCCCAATCAGCCAGATGGGCAGGCAGGCTGGGGGGAAGGGAGAGGGGGAAAAAGGGGCAGATTGTGCAAAGGAAAACAAAAGAGACAGAGAGACATCAAGAGACAGGAAACACAGGGAGACAGAGAGAATCGGTGGGTGAGAGGGGGAGATGTGGTGACCTCAACAACAGAGAGAGCCTGGGAAGGGAGGAGAGTGGGCTAGGCTGAGTGACCACACTGGGATGGAGAAACAGAAACCTGAGAAGTGACCCTGAGGCCAAGGAAGAGGAAGCCAGTAGAGGGACAGAGGCAGAATGAACAGAGCACAGATGCGAACTCAGAGACAAAGAGGCCAAGCGGAGGAAGGCCTGAGGGGTCAGGTGGAGATGAGAGAGAAAGTGGACACTTCTTCACTCCACCCCTAACAGTGACTGCATTTCTCTCTGGACAGCTGTCCACTTTCTGACACTGGGGACTGGCTAGAGCAATTCTCCAAGGGGCCCTTCCCCTCCCTTGGTTTGCCAAGCCCACCTTCCGACCTGGCCCCAGTCCAGCCCAGCCAGCCCAGCCCAGAGGGGTGCCCTTCTCCTCACCTGCACGGCAGAAGCCGACTGCTTGCTGTCATTGTTCCCTGGGGAGCTCAGGCCTGAGGCCTGCTGTAGCAGGAACTGCCGGGCCACCTGGAGAGCCTGCAAGACAGGGTGAGTCAGCGTGCCTGCCCAGTAACTGTGGGCTACAAGTCAGTACAGACCCAGGATTCAGGGAGAGTCTGAGGCAGTACGGGGGAGGAAGTCAGGGTAAGGTGGAAGGTCCTGGGGGTGAGAGTCATAGGGTCCACTTGGGCTTGCGGGTAAGGATCAAGGTAGGAGTCACTGAGGAACTGTTAGGGTCTGGGGATGACAGCTTGTAGGGACTTACTGTGGGACCTGGTGAGGTCTGCTGTCCTCTTTGGGGGTAGCAAATGGAAGGGTCCATGGTCAAACAATGGGGTGGACTCAAGACATTAATCATAGGTACTATTTATCAAGCATCTACTATGTGTCAGGCAGGAAAAACTATCCTCTTCCCTTCAAGTTCTTCCAGCTGGACTAATAACCAAATTAATACAAGACAGGAGAGAGCAGGAGAAAACACGTTGAAGAACAGAGTAGCTGGCCAACATGGTAGAAGTCATCACTTAAATACCTCCCTCAGCTAAAGAACAAAAGATGTTGGGGGTGGAGAGTCATTTACAGGAGGTTACCAGGAAAAGCACAGTAAATAAGGATAAGGTTGTTATGCAGATTTAAGCCCAAACCCTCTCTACTGATAGCAAAGGCAGCCCTGCTCCAGTGAGGGAGACACCCTTACAAATGGAGATCTCCCTCACACATGTAAATACGTCTTTTACAAAGGGTACTTCCTACTTGGTTTTCAGAGCCAGGTCTGCTGTTTCTTAAAATTAATCAGCCTAAAATAATCTATATCTCAAAGTGGCATATTTTGGGGTGGCTAACTCTGCTCCCTTCCACAGATAAAAATCTCATTTACTCCTGTCCTGGGGGGGCTGTGAGGTAGGGATTATCAGCCCCATTTTGCAGATGAGGGAACTGTCCCCAGGAGGTTAAGTAATTTGCCCAAGATCACACAGCTAGGAGGTGTCAGAGCCAGGATTTGAGCCCAGGAAGCACAGCTCCAAAGCCATCTGCCTTACTAGATGGCCAGTCTGGGGGCTAAGCGAGTAACAATCACTTGGAATCAGAGCACACAGGTGGTGAGGGTGGAGTCACAGGGTCCGGGTGCTGGCTTTCTGAGGTCAGGGGGTCTAGGTTCAGGGCCTTGTGGCCCTGGGGGAATTCAATCAAGTCCTGAAGGGGGAGTGTGAACTATCACTTCAGCTATAAGTGGTGGTCTGAGCTTGGAGGTCAGAGTGGCTTGGACTGGACTCTGAGCCAGGGTCACCGGAGTGGTAAGTGTATGGCATCTGCAAGAGGAGCAGTGAACTTGAGAGGCGAGTGGATGGGCTGTGAGAGGTCAGGTAGGAGAGAGGGGTCAAGGAGGCCTCGGAAGTTCTTTATAAGGTCAGCTCAGCCGTGCATCGCCCAACTCCAGGGTCAGTGAGGGGCTCAGAGGTAGGGGATGTGGGGACCTGTCCCCAATCCACATTCCAGGAGTGCAAAACCCATCTGCCTCCAGATTCCTCAGAGACCTCCTTGGGAGCTAGAACAGTTACATCCAGGCCTACGACAAGGGCTCTGGCATCAGGCGGACCTGGGTTTGAATCCCAGTATGGTTACCAGCAGTGTGATCTTGAAATGAGTTGTTCTATCTCTGCATTTCAGTCTCCCGATCTGAAAAACTGGGACCCTACCCACTTCTGAAACACTGTGGGGATTAAAGGACCAATGCTTGGCATTTAGTTGACATTCGCAGAATATCTGTCCCTTTCCTTCTCATGAATCTCTCAAGAGTTTCCCCCTCGCCTCCTTCAGTCTTTCTTAACACAGCCTCCTGCCTGGCGCACCTATTATATGGCACGAGCCTGCCTGTGGCTCACTAGCTTCTGTCCACACATACCTGTTTGTTCTCACATGGACCTCTATTCTTCTATCCCATCGCAAGCACCATCAGACAAAACCTTGTACGGTGGAATACAGATGCACTCATATACACTGCCCCCTGCAAACACTTCTGGAGCGCCCACTGTGTACCAAGCCTATACACACCTCCCTTCGAAGCCGTTTCATCGCCAGCATTGAGCAGCTGCACCTTCCCTGAGGCCGAAATACAGTTTACCTTAGGATGGTATCTAAATACACACTGGTGTATCTATGGGAACGCGTCCCCAGGCAAACTTGGAGTTCAGATGGGCATGCTCACCAGCCCCCCAGATCCTAGGTCTCCCCCACCCCTTCTCTCTTTTCCTGGACCTCATACCCTGGAGCAGTGGCCTGGGGTTTCTCCTCTTCAAGATTCACTTCAGAAAGTAGAAGTCTGACCCTTCCGAGTCAAAGGCTCTGAGAGGCTGTATAAAGGGGTAAGAGGGTGGGGAGAAGGGAGGTAACCAGGTGGTCATCAGGAAAGACCTCCTCCAGGTAGGTGGACGGTAGAGGGGTGAGAGGTCAGGGGACAAGGTAAGGAAGAGGATGGTGTGGAGGAGCTGGCCAGCACGAACAAGCCGGAGGAGACATTGGGCAGGGTGGAGAGATGAAGCACCGGGCTCCCTGGTGGGGAGAAGGGAGCAGCTGGGGGAGTTTCCAGGGGGAGCTGGGGGGTGCCACATGCCGGCTTCTGGTGGAGCGACTGGCCTGGGAGTTGGATTTACTCCCCTCTGAGTCTCTTACTTTGTGGTCCCCTGAAGCATGAAATTACAAGATTTACAGAAAAAAAATGACATGGGTTTGCAATCTCATTCCTGAGAGCTCCCTGTGACAGGCCCTTCGCTCCCCCTCCTCTTGACCTCCCCTTTAGGCCAGATGAGAGAGCCAACTAAAACCCCAGGCCTGGCCAAGGCTGTCTCTTTCTCTGACTTCTCACACTCTCCACTCATTCTTCCTTAACATTTACTGAGCACTTGCTGTGTGCTGGGGACCATACTAGGTGCTGGGGATACACAGAGAAACAGCCCATGGCCCTTCCCACCAGGGCTCACAGCTTAGGTGCTGTTATAACAGTCGCCTGTCAGAGACTTCAGTGGAGTGGGCTCTGGGCACCAGAGCCTAGAGAAGGGCCTCCTCTGCCTGGGGAAGTCTGGGAAGGCCTTCCAGAGGAGGTGGCAGCACTGCCAAGTGTCCTAAAGGGCAAGTTTATCAGGTAGACAAGGAGGTTAACAGTGTTCAAGGCACAGTGACGCCCTCCCCCACAGAGGAGTGAAATGGCTCAGAAAGTCCAGGGAGCTTGACACCATTCCCAGGGCAGAAAATCGAGTTATGTTGGGGGCAGTAGTAGGAGAAGCTAGAGGACCCCACAGGGACCGTCAGGTCATGTGGGTCTGAACTCTTCCAGGCATTTCACTCAGTCATGTTCATGGCCACCTACCACTTTTAGCCCCGTGATGAGAAGAGATGGGGAGGTGACGGTAGACAACACAAGGTCATTTTGTGTAATTTGTTTACAGCCCAACCCTGACCCAATCTAGGGTGATTTCAGTACATCTAAAAATCACCCCGTAGGTATGCAGGGGTGGGGATGATGGGCAGACCCTGGGCTCGGGGTCCAAGCTCTTCTCTCAGGATGGCCTGGAAATGTTACTGACTGCTCAGTGCACTGCAGTGCTGATCTGTTCTCCATTCCCAACCACCATCCTGTCTGTCTGCACATCCAGACTCCCAGCCAGGGACAGTACTCTGGGAGCCAGGGGCCCCTCCAGCCTTGGATGCCCTCTAGGTGGTCACCCAAGGGATCAGGTAGGTCTGAGTCTTTCTAAAGCCATATTCCAGTCACATCTACCACTCTGAAGCACAAGGTCTCAGTGTCTCCACTGGCTGCTGACACAGGAGCCTGATACATCACTGGACTGCCCACCCCTGAGAGATGATGGCCCCCGCACCCTGACAGATCCAGCCGCATTTTCTCTGAAGATGCCGACCAGATCGTAGCCTCCTTGAAACAGAGATGGCAAATGTATCTGTGAGCCCCGGCCCCGGCCACCACACACAGCAAACACTCTCATGAGTCACTTAGTCAAGGCTGAACATGGGAGCCAGGCACAGGCTGATACAGAGTTTAGGAGCTAGTATTTGGTTAGTGCCTGGCAGTTTTCAAAGCATTTCTATAAACATTTAGCTGAAGCTTCACAACCTTGAGCTAGGTAGGACAGGGGTCACTGTCTCCATCATACAGGCAAAGAAACTGAGACCTAAGGTCCCAGGCCAGGAAGTGGAGTCCAGACACCTGACTGTCCAGCCCCTTTCACCCCAATCTTATGTGCTTTCAGTGGTCTGGGTGTGAACGGAAGGTGAGGCTGGTTGAGGCAGGGAGAGAAGATCAAGAAAGGAATCTCTACGAGAAAGACAGGTTCCATTTCCCTTCCCTGGGAGCCACAGATACTCAAATATGGCCTTCGGTGGGAAAAGGCATTTAGAATCCCATGGGGGAAGAAACCACCATGGAAAACCTCAGAGGAGGGAGGGATAGATGGCGGCTTGGGGCAGAATGAAAAGCTGGGAGCCATTTGGCCCCTTCTTCCACCTCTTGGGCTGAAAACCAAATACCCAGCTCTGTGGTTGAAGAGTAAAGTCTCGTTTTCCTTTGAGAGACAGTACTGGTCTATTCAGGGCACGGTCCCTGGGCAAAGCAATCTGGATCCAAATCCTGGCTCCACCATATATTGAGTGACCCTGGGTAAGTCACTTCACTTTTCTGCGCCCCAGTTTCCTCCTCTGCAAAATAGGAATAACCCTGCACTTAGCTCACAGGGTTGTTGTGAAGAGTATATGGGACAATGCAGTGCCTAGCACCCAGTGGGTCCCGAATGGATATTAACTATTGTCATTTATTAATCCATTACCTTCCCAGGCAGCTCTTGGTCACTTTTCCTGTCACCCAGAAGAACTTGCTACCAAATCCTCTTCTAGCCTATACCCACCCCCATTCCCCCTCAAGCCTAAGAACTCAGTCTCGCTAATGAAGCTGAACTCTCCTCCCCCCATCGCCCATTCAGAAGTCATTAGCAGGATCTCCACAATTAGGAACAAATGGCTTATAACGG